GAACAACCAGATCTTTACAATAATGCTTTAAGAAAGACCAAAGGGATTAAGGATATCTGATGCTGTTCCAGGGGGTAACTTTATCAAAGATAAGATAACTATTATATATACTTTATTCCTACTTTATCCCTACTTAACAGACAAAACCTGGAATATGCCCATCTTTCCTGCAAAAACAATCAAAGACAGGCAATCCCACAGATACCCTGGCTTTATGCAATGACTGCTAGCTGGAAGTAAAAAAATACAAAAATTTTTTTCCCTCTAATAATTTAGATTTTTGCACTCCAGATCAAGTAGTTCTATTGGAGCCCCAATCGCACAAAAGATGCAAGAGAGTTCTAAGGTCAGAATAGCAAGGAAGAATGGGCAGAGTAGTTACCAATTCTGGCTAAATCAGCAAAAGATGGCTAGGCAAGCCACCATTTAAGAAGTGTAAATTCAGTCAGTTCGTAAAAATCAAGGCTATCGTTTCTTGCACTAAGAAATTAACACATGGACATATCTCTGAAAATATGGACAAAAAAACTTGTGGTTGGTCTGTTACCTTAGAAATGCATGCTGTAATGTCTCCTCTGCTCTTGTTGAATACTTAATAATAATTTTTCCTAGGCTTCACTAGCACATCGTCAGAAGATTGCACAATTCTCTTGCCTGGAATAATCTATTTTCCTTCTTTATGTGGTGAGTAGATTACCATTTTTGTTAGAAATTATTGTCAGCAAAGGGTGGCTAACTTTGCCTCTTGTCTCTCCCCACCAAAGTTTTCCATAATGTAGACTACAGTGTTCCGATGGGTTTTTTTTTCTTTTTACTGAAATTTTTTTTTGCATTAATATATTAATTCACTTACCAATATACTTAAGATGCTGTTCTTTCTGCCGAAAGTTCCCAGAACCATGTGCACATGCACACACACAAACCCACACATATCAAATCAAATGAAATCAAAATCTTTATTACAATCATAGATCAGCATAGACACCCATCACACATGCATGCACAATATATAAAAATAATATAAATTTTAAAAAATCTGATCACAAATATAAAGCTTATTTTAAAAGGGAAGTCTAAAAGACTCTGGCATGTGGTGTCTTACAAAGCCCTGGGTAAAAAGCATATTTTAGTTATTACTATAACACACACACACACACACACACACACACACATTCTACATGGAGATCAGTTGTATTTTCTTTGGGAATATTTCCTAACTGAGGATTGACTCAAGGAAGCCTTAGTCCTGACCATTATAATTGTGAGTCAAATCCAACAGTGAAAGTGGTATGCAGGGGTGGGTTCTACTTACCTTTACTACCGGTTCGCAACGGGGCCGTGCAGGCGCAGAAGCATTTTGATGACGTCAGGGTCAGTGGGCGGAGCCTCCTGCCGGTTTTACTACCAGTTCTATAAAACCGGTGCGAACCGGGGGCAACTCACCACTGGTGGTATGGGAATAAAAATGAAGATAACTGCAGAATTATTATTTTCCCTTCCTTTTTCATGTATTATTAGACAACCTGTGCCTTGTTGGGTCATCCTTTCAGAGGTAATTCCTTACCTGAACAAAGAAACAGAATGACCACAGAACAGGAAAAAAAAACACCAGTGATTTCTGACATCCTGCCAGCTTCCCCATTAATATTGCTTGTGAGAAAATAGCAGGGAGTTTTGGAAATCACTTTTCCTCCTCCTTGGCTGACCTGTGGAACTTTCTGCCATTTTGCTGAAGGGAGGGCGAACAAAGGGACCACGAAAAAAAAAAAAAACTCATCTCGCTCTGTATCTCAGCATCTTCCAAAATCCTTCCTGAGAGGAAGTGGCTTATCCATTAACTGCCAGCATTCCCCAGTCAGCTCTACCACACAGCAATTATCTGAGTTGCTCCTTCATCCTCATAACCTCACCATGGTTAAGAGATTTGTCCCTGGTTCCAAAGCAGCCAACTGCCACTCACTCATCAGGCTTTTCCACCAGCCAACTAGGCACAGGGGAAGGAAAGAGGGTGGGGACATACTCCTCCCATTTTCAATTGCACCACATAATCTATGAGTTTTAGGGAAATATAGTCAGAAGGCACAGTAGTGCTGAAGCTGCCATGACTTTGTCAAATTTAAATCCCACAGGAGTTATGGATCCCAGATTTTGGATGCATTTTGCAAGTTAACCCATTTGAGTTACATTGGTTCAAAACTTGTTGCTCTATAATGCACAATTTCACCCAATTGAAGGCTGCAAACAGACACAAGAATTTTAACAATATACTAGTTCAGAGAATATTAATTTGATAGTTGAATAACACAAGAGAAAATGATTAAATATTATCTTTCTTAGCACCAGTCTTAAGCCACTTCATTTTTTTTTTGTACTAGATGATTTAAAGCTAGAAAGAGGCTGGCAGATCTAATACAATGTTTGCAGCATAGCCTTAATTTTTATGCCTATTTACAACATCATTCTACTAGGTATGGATTTGCCCAGAATTATTTACTCTGCATTGCTGTGAAATTAGAGATTCACTATAGCCATTGGGGCCATTAAAAATAAATTAAAATTCTGCAATTTAGGTGTTTAGAAAAGGAAGCAGATAACTTAGTTCAAATCTTATTTACACTGTGTCGGTATATACACAATTACATTTCCTGAAAAATAATCCTTACCTACATTGCTTTTAACAGTTAGGGTTTATCACTTAGTTTTTCCTAGTGTATAAAAAAATAAAGTACCCCTTGATATTTTAAGGAACAATTTGTATGTAGTTTTGAAAAAATCAATATATATTTATGTTAAAGCACAAACATATAAACATATTCATGTATACAACACAATAAAATGTAAAATATATTTGTAGCGTGAACTATTTGTTCATAAAAGTGAAGTCTGCAGAATTGTAATGTATAGTTCTTCACATTCGAGGGCCATTGTCTCATCTGGCTCATATGGGAAAGATCATTTATTGTGAGAATCACATGATGGAGTGTCTTTTCTGAAGTCATCCTTTTCCATATGATGCAGAACAGGGGTGGTTTCTACTTACCTTTACTACCGGTTCACAACGGGGCCATTGGTGACGTTGGGGTCGGTGGGCGGAGCCTCCCACCGGTTTTACTACCAGTTCTATAGAACCAGTGCGAACTGGAGGCAACCCACCACTGATGCAGAAGATGAAATTTTCAAAAGTAAGCCTTTCTGTCTCTGGACCTGGTTTCTTAAGTCTCACGCATCTTATCCTTAGAACATTGCTTTTTTGTTTTTACATTTGTAAGACAGAGGATTTTATATCCCTTGGGATATAAGGATATCTACACTAGATCAAAGAGATTCTACTTCTGGGTAATTATGTATCTAGAGTCAGGAATTGGTGATTTATTAGGGATTGTTCACAGGACAGTGGCTGACCTGTATCAGTCTTGTGAAGAGATAGTTTGATATTAAAAGGTATGGAAAGAATGTAAGATGAAAATATTTTCAGCGACTTGCAGAGATTTGACGAGGGTCTGTCATTAGTGGTGGTGGGTGGTGGGTGCTGTTTTCCAGAACCTAAAATGACTGGGGCTGCATCACCATATATGTTTGGCAGAGCTTGTTTTAAAACCTCTAATATTTTATCATAATGGCTTTTTCTTGGTAGTTGAATAAAGATTTTTGTTCCTTTTTTAAATTATAGTTTCTTCTGGAACTATATTCGGCATGGAGAGAGTTAAAAGCTATGTAGTTAATATTCACTGTCATTAGCACTAGGTAGCATTTGTTTTTACTCTGGGTTTGGGGTCTTAGCTGCACACCTCTGATTTATATTAGGTAGTGATGGCTTAATGCAGCTATCACAAAAAACACAACTGAGAACATTTGAAAGAATTCCAAGTCGTTTTTCATTTCAAGAAGAATGAACAGGATAATTAAAGTTTTAAAATTAATTATTCTACTGTCTTTAGAGGAACTAGAAGGCCATTCTTTTGTCTCTGGGTCAATTTGAGGAACTGGAAATCAAAGTAATTAGCTGAGAATAAAAAAAATAGTCTTACGGGAAGTCCATTTGTTCTTCTTGGTGGGGTTTCTGATAGCAAGTATTATTAGTACATACATAAGAGGATTCAGCCGGCGGATAGGATATTGTGCTCCTATTTGAGTCAGTACTTTGCATTCTTTATGTGGAAGTAAGTTACTCCTCTCCCCAGCAGCTAAGGGTTACTTTCAGCAGACACACAGGCGGACAGATGATTTAGAAAATGATGTCTGTCAAGTTTGTCATTAATGGAGGCAAGATGTAGATGGATCAAGGATGCGGTGTCCTTTGAAAAAAATAAAAGATTGACTAGAGAGCTGATCAGAAAGGGAACAGGCAAACAGTGGGCATTCATGTGTGCCTCATCTCAACTGGGCTGTTATATTTTGTTAATATATAAAACAGAAAGGGAAGAAGGCTCGTTGCTTTGTTTTTTACAATATCTCTAATTTTAGTTTCAGTAAGCAATCCGATTGTTTAATATGAATAAATCATCTTCATTTACCAAGGTGTGCAGTCCAACACTAGAATTAATTCATCAATCTTCACTTGTTTTGAGGCTTTCTTAGACTCAGGAGTCTGGAATTTGTTCATCCTTTCTTGCTTTCTGCCTATATGGCAGCTGATCGTAGGCTTCCAAGAAAAGCAAGTAACTAAAAAAGAGGTCACTAAAAATGAAACGGAAGTAATGTAAAATGCTAAAGCCTACAGAGAAATGTCATGAATAAAGTAGAGGTGCATCTTAGACTTGTCTACATATATAAACTAAATACATGGCATAAAGCTACATATTTTCACTATACCACTGTACTATACAAAGTTGGCATTACATGCTAGTAATCGTACAGTCTTTCCTTCCTGCTTTCCGCTGTCCACATTTAGCCTCCAGAACATATCCTGAACAGAAAAATCCAATCAACTTTCTGATAGTCAATCACACAGAAGATAAAGCAGATTTCTTATCTTTGTTTTCAGTGCAGAAATGGGAAGAAATGGCAGAGAGGCATATTCTGAGGAAATGTTAGATGAAGCACCTGAATTGTCTTAGTGACAATTATATAATGTCTGATCTTTTTGGAATACTGCTCTGCATAGTACAGTGAGAAGTTGAGGTTGCATTTATGGCCATTTGCATGGTGTGCACAATGTACACCACAAAAACTTTATCTTTCCTGAAAGATGGAAGCTTAAGAAGAAGAAAGAAAGAAGGATATCATTGGTTCCAGCTAAAATTTCCATAATGGAATACAATTAAAGGGAAGGAGACTGGTGGTTCAAAAATGTGAAAAATAAATAAATAAAGGGCAATATTAATGCATCAAATACATAGTTACTCAAAGCAAAGCTAGATTTAACCACTTAACATAACAATATTTCAGTGAGTAATGTTTCAGGGTAGCATTCCAATCATGCAGTCAGTGAAGTCCTTTCCAAGGACTCTGAAGTCCAGCCGTACCTGTTTTCCATTCCAACTCCTCAGCCATTGCTACTTAGCATTCTGTAAAAACTTAGCATATTTGGTCCTCACTGAGCTCTATTTTCTCTACAGATGTTCCACTATTCTGTATTCTCTTATTGAATTCATCCCGGTGACAGTTTTGTTTGCATAAGGTTGCACTCAGGCTGGCATACGCTATTTTCAGAATTATTGGTTTGGATTCCGATGTTCTAAAACTTCTGTGGTCCAAAGTGGGATATGCTATTTCAGGGTCTTCGGTCTGTCAAGTCAGAAAAATAGTCAGGTTTGTATTTAAATTAGCAGAATTAGCAGAAGGTGAAGTTGGAGGATACTGAGGAAAGGATGTCCCTCAAGGTTTCTCTGCTTACTGAAATGCATTTTAGCTGTTTCCAAGTTCACAGGAAGGTATCTGTGTTGTTCAATCAATGTCTTGTATAGCCTACAGTACATTCTAGCTGTAGAGAAGCTTGTGCTTTTGGTGCATTGCATCTAACTGCTGCATTGCCCTGCGACATTAGCCTTCAGAAATTAATGATGCCTGCACTCACTTGCCATGTATGAGAAGCAATTACAGTATTACACCTTTTTAATATGAATGAACCTGATCACACAGTACAGCAAGCATATAGAGTTTGGAGGAAAATTGGTGCACCTATATATCAGGCATTTCTATGGCCATTTTATATTACTAAGGGGTGGTTTTTTTTTTTTTTTACATATTCATGATAACTACAGGACAGAGTTTAAACTGCCCATAGTTTAAAAAGCAGACAAATTTCTAACAGTGTAATTCAAGGAAATTTGTTACCATCTGTAATTCCTGATACTGATGACCTATACATAGTTATAGCACTGAATACATTTTCATTGAAACAGAGGACTGATCTGTTTTGAACTTGACCTCCTCTACTCTCCAGGGACATGATCCTATCTTACAAGAATCTGTGCTCTTTATGAACGTGCAACTTGTTTCTGAATGCTATCACATTGCCAAATGTGTATTAATGAATCATTTGTGCTATTGAATAATATATTCAATTGGGCAATGGCAATTTTGAATCAGAGAAAGTTTTTATAGGGATTAGGGGGCTTTTTTTGCACGCAAAGACACACATACTGTATGTGATCCCATATTTCAAGAAATTCAGAGCGCTTTGTTGTACGTTTCAGTGGTTTACATTTGTTCCTGATGTCATACAGTGAAAATAATTACCCATATAATATTAAGAAAAACAGATAAATGGAACTGATCCCATGTTATATACTAAGGGTTGTTTCACATATTTCTCTGGAGCACTGCATCCGCGATTACAAGACCACATGTTGAATTCATGACATTGGAAGTGAGCAACAAGTTCATCTCCCAACAGCTGTGATAATTTCACTCCCTGGCATATGGCCACCATATTTCAGCTCAAGGATTTCATAGTTAAACAGAAACTGAAGACCGAAGCTATTATATTCCATTTTATTGGTCAATTTCCTCATGCTATTATCAAACAAATACAGGTACTCCTCGACTTAAAACAGTTCATTTAGTGACCGTTCAAAGTTACAATGACACTGAAAAAAGTGACTTATGAGCATTTTTCACACATATGACCATAGCAGCATGACCCTAGTCACATGATTTACATTTGGATGCTTGACAACTGACTCACATTTACGACAATTGCAGTGTCCTACGGTCACACGATCTCCTTTTGTGACCTTCTGACAAGCCAAGTCAATGGGAAAACCAGATTCATTTAACAACTGTATTACTAATTTAACAACTTCAGTGATTCACTTAACAAATGTGGCAAGGAAAGTCATAAAATGGGGCGAAACTCACTTAAGAAATTTCTCACTTAGCAACATCAATTTGGGCTCCATTGTGGTCATAAATCGAGGACTAGCTGTAACCTACACAATATAATTTTTTTCATTATGTGAAAAATTATGTCACATACAATATTTTATTGCAACTTTATATTTTCATATTTTCCTTCTTGCACAACACAACATCTAAGTTGTGAATTGAGTTTTAGGAATATCCTTAGTAACTACTTCTTTTCTGAATCCATGTTTTCAATTAATCATCACTAATTTTTATTTGGTCGTAGACCAGCAAATAAAACAAAGATCACACTTAAGATAAAAAGAAAAAGACATAAAATTCTGAAATATTTAAGAAAAATTGGAGGAGATGTTACAGGATACTATACAAACTATAGAGCATGACTTAATTGTGGTCAGCAAGACAAAATTGGAATGATCAGTTAATAACTTGAGATAGAAAGCATCAGGATGACCAAAATGCTTAGTTTAAAATGAAGATAATAATTCTTGGTGAGCATCTGCATAGAGGGAGCAATACAAAATAACTTGTTCCATCATTTCAATTGCCAGTCTTGGTTCAAAAGGAATATTTTGGTATCTCCCTTCAATAACAGCTGTTGAGAGGGCATTCAATCTAGCCAAGGATAAAGCTCTTCTAAATTTCAGAGTTGTTATGGAACTTAGGTATCTGTCTAATTGGAGAGAATATGTAGAATGGCCCCAAAAGATGTTTCTAGGCAGGATTGATAAATCAGATCTAGATTGATGATCCATTGTTCATGCACATTTCTAGCCTATAAAGGTGATGGCTGCCCATGTAACACCATAGGATCTATTTAGCATGTATTGCCTAGGACTAGGAAGTGGCCAAGGCAACTGGGAAAAAGGAGCTTAAGCCAACAAGAGGAGATGTAAATCCAAGCATAAGTTTCTGTTTAAGAAAAGACATGATAACTGCTTTTCAAAGAAAATAATCAGAAAGGTCATCTGAGTTAATGTTTTACCCAATACTAACATTTCAAGTGGTTTGTCCTAATATTCATTATGGATGAAAAGTAACTTTCTAAAAAAAAAATTGGCCAGGGAATATTATCCTATATTTGGGCTTGTATACCTTTATCTTAAACTCAAATGTATATTGTTAATGTGACTATATCATCTTTGGTTTGGAAAGAAACATCCAGCCAAGGAAGGTGTTTTTATTTGTAGGCTGTATGTAACTTGTTATGACTTAGATTGATGAATAACCAAAGGACGAACAAGTGAAGCTAAAACACAGCACTAAATAAAACATTTCAGAGCAATTTTATGAGAAGGTCACTAGAGACACTAGCCAGATCTTGGGGTTCCCCCCCTATAGATAGTGAAAATGGTATATAAAAAGTGCTCTGAGCAGTGTCAGATTCAGGACTGCACACAATCTACAGATCTAATCCCAGAAGTTTTCACTAGTTGTCAATGGAGCATTCCACCAATACCACCTTTACTCTGTTTTTATCTGAACTAAGTTTTGATTTACTTACCCTCAGCTATCTATAGCAGTCATTAATGGAGGTCATATTCTACCAGGATCTGATGGAAGGAAAAACAGAGCTGAGTTTACTGCTGTGTCAACTTCCCATATCAATTCTTCTTTCAATAGATCAACCTGGACTTTAAAAGGAAGGTTTGCCAGGTCAGGATGAGGTGAGATTAGAAGACAACTCCAGTTTACTACTGTTTTATTAGCTTCTAGTCTTCTGTCTTTGCTATAATAGAACCTTTCTTAGGTCATCCAAATAAGCTGGTTGTCAAATAACAGAGCTCTGGATTTTCCCATTTAAGAAATATTTTGCCTAGTTACTTACAGCGAAACATCTGATTCAGCAATTATTTAGGTCTGTTTTTGCATCTTTCTCAGAAAAGCTTGCTCTCAAGTGTAACAAGATATAATATGGGTTTCTATGCTAAATGAAACACACAGCCCCTATCTACAGATGGATAATATGATCTTCACATCTGTTAGGTATGGAAGAAATAACAGATAAGTATATCATGAGTCATTGGTTACAAAGGTCAAAGTACTAAATAGGAAACAAGAGATAAACAGATAATAGAACAAAGCTTTAGTTTCAAAAGCTGGCTCACATTCAAATCTATACTGAGAGGGAACAAAAAAAATTCTATGCCAAGCCACTTGTAGCTCTTCTGAAAAAAAAAATGACAGATTTCAAAACTTCAAAGGCTGTAAAACACAGAAATTATAATTAGTTTAGGTGCCCTGTACTATACCTTAATCCCAATATGATAGCCAATTTCTGAACAGCCCTTCATCCCATAGCTGGCTCTTCTTTCTTATCAACAATTCAAATCTACTCACCAGTTTCTTCTGTTCTTCCTAAGTCTCCTTCTCTTTCAGTTTTTCTCTGTCCCATCCAGGGGTGAAATGCTACTGGTTTGGACCGGTTCCGCTGAAGCAGTAGCGATGGTGGTGGGTGGTTCGGAGAAGTGATGGCAGCATGAGGCTCTGCCCACCCGCCCAGTTGTTGTTACTTCCTGGTTTTAACCAGGAAGTAACCTGTTTTATACCCTCTGCACATGTGCAGAGGGTCCGCATCTACATGTGATGCATGTGTATGAGCGGAGTGAGCGTGTGCAAGCGGCGCATGCACTTCCAAACCAGTAGATTTCACCCCTGGTCCCATCTAACTTTTTAGATGAGATACGTTTATTACCTCTTAGATCTATATCCTATTTTTAACTCTAGAAGCTCAAAACAGGGTTGATAGAACTTCCTTCTATAATTTTTATTCACAACAGTGTGAGCTAAATTGTGTTAAGCACCAGTGACTGCCACTCTCATTCTGAGTTTTCATTCTGAAGGTGGTCTAGTACTTTTAATTACATCTTCCTCCACTTGGACCTCTTTTGTAACCAGAAGTTCTGTCCTCTGGGGGACACAACCATTGTATGATCCCCTTATTGAAGATAACAAAGGCTAGAAATCATGAATATTTATTGCAACCCAATTGTGAAATTAGGAAGTCAAGGTCATTGTTGGGTTCCAGCTTCTTTTGCAATTCAGAATCTGAAATTTAAGAACCGGATGCAGATGTTAGTTTGGTGTCACTGTTTCTGCACTTAAGAGATTTACCATGTAGAATGGATCATACAGAAACTGCCTAGCCGTGATTATCTACTACTCCCATGACTGAAGAAGCACACCTCTAGAACAAGACATAGGCAGCATTCCATGGGTGGGACTGAATAGGCAGATGTTGGTGTACATGAAGCTTGATTTGCTGATGGTTCAGAATCCAATTCTCCCTTCCAACTTCAATAAAAATAATTTATTTTGGGTATTTCTCGGTAGGAACATCAGTGGCAACTTTGGTGCCATCTGGGATGATGCTGGTTATGTTCCCTTCCAGTTCATGTCAACACTGCAGAATCAGATATACTTTTTAAGCTAATGCCAACAAATTTCACTTGAAGAGTTGCTCTTTGCATATTGGGTCCATTGTCTATGACTATAAATAAATAATTCATGGTGGCAAACATAGCTGACACTCCTTCCTTCTCCTATTTTTCCCCACCCACCCAGCGAGGTGGGTAGAGCTGAAATAAGAGTAACTGGCCCCAAATCACCCAGCCAGCTAAAGCAGGACTAGAACTCAGGATTTCCTTGGTTGCTAGACTGGTGCCTTAACTAGTAAACCAAACTGGCTCTAGTCTATATGTGACCATATCTGGCTTTCTGGATAATAAGATCTCAACCATGTGCTTCATAGTTGTACTCATATCATATACTGGGTGAGTCATGTTCAGCACCACAGTAAGAAGTAATATTTATCCTACATTCTGAAAAGAGCTGGGGTCTATAATTGCAACATTCTTTCATTCACAATTCACCCCTACCCATTCTTAGTGAGGACAAGACAAGAAACCTGAACTTCACCTCAAGTGAGGTGTAATGGATGTAAGCAGTAAGCATACTTGCAGCTCTGCCAGCATTTCCTCCCTGCGTTGGTGATACAGAGGGTATCATCCATCTGCATGATAGCATTTGTCAGATCTGATGCCTTTGAAGCATCTGCTAGATGTTGCCTGTAGCTACTTCCACTATTATGCAGATATCCTGCTGTACTCAAGAGCTGCTGGCCTGCTGCTGGATAGCACCATGGGCTGCCTAGTGTTGCCAAAGGTGGGAAGGACATCTGGATGTCTAAGCAGATGCTGAAACAACCACAAGAACAAAAGACACCTGGTGTTTTTCCCTTGTTCAGACATGCCCTAAAATAGTTGTAGAACACATAACGGGTTTTCAAGCAGAATCTTGATGGGGTTCCATATTATGTTATCTTCTGAATTGCTGTGCCCATTTGGGCCCACCATGTGCCATGGATTCAAATTTGAAAGGACAACTCCTCCTACTCTTGACCTTCATTTTCACTCCTAGTTGCTAACTGAGAAGAACAGGCTTGTTGCCTGAAGTGTTAATCTCATCACATTTTCTGGTTTAATTTCAATCATTTCTAATCAAGATACTTGTGTTTTGAGTCATATTCAAAAGTAATTCTTGTTTTAATTTTTACTTATATATGTTTGGTTTCATTTGTAATCATTATATTCAATGTTCTAGGCTTGAAATGGGTAATTTTCAGACTGTTTTGCATATCCCTAGGGACTAGCCATTGCTTGTGGGATGAGTTATTCATCCTAGCAATATTAGTAGAATTTGAGATGAAGTCTGGAACATCACTGAATCATTATTACAATCTGCTTCTACATTTCCTGAAACAGACTTGATGTAGGAGATGACCAGGCTGAACCCAAGGGAGGGGTCAAATGCATCATCAGTCTCGAGTCTCTTTGTGCCCACAAGAAATCTAAGTCCAGCCTACCTTGAATTCCATTGGCTTTTATCTTCCACCAAATTGCTTTGACCATTAGTAGTTCAGATTCTTGTAGAGAACTTAAGCTTGCAATAAACCTTTTATCTGAATTGGCTGGATTTCCTGATTTCCCCATGCTTCATAGTTAAATCATCAATACCAGTTTTTTCCCTCCACCCCACACCCACTCATGCATAGTTCTGAAGAACTTAAAAACTTAAAAACTTAACTATGTTGGCTCATAGTCATGTACACAGTCTCCTCCCTATTTACTTACAGAACTCTGTGAGATAAGTTATAGGCACAAGAGCTTTTGAGGTCTTTAAAAAAACATTCCCTCTCAAATCACAAATGCTCACAATGTATCTGAAGCAAGTGGGATAATCTCAAAATGAACTAAGAGAAAATCATAAACATTGGACCTGGAAAGTGATAAGTTGTTGCTTCTTGTCCAATTATGTTGATTTAGGGAGAAGACCAATTTCAGCAGTAATTACTGCTACTTAATTTAACACCAGTTATCAATGATGTGCTGAGTTGGCTTTTTCACTCCCACACTGAGCCCTGAAAACAAATTGGTTATACTTATACACACCAACTAAGACTAAGGCCCATTTTTCCATTGACAGGTAAGGAGGCAATGATTACAGATGACTTAGTCATTTCAGCTATAAAGAGTAGCAGTCTTCTTAGTAAGAAGTAGGAATAAAACAGCTGATCATCACTAGAACCTGGGAGCTGTCCTAAAAAACCCAGAGATGGAGAATGGAGAAATTTTTGTGGAGTTTATGCTTTGATAATCACATATCTAATTTGGGCCTTCTGAATGAATGTTTTGTGAACTGAAACAAAATTAAACTTTCATGTTTGCTTCTGAATTTTTCAATGCAGTGCTTCCATTTTTTAAAATGCATGGTTTATGGAAAGATTTGAAAAACATATACATATTTTCAAAAATAATGTATAAAAGTTCACTCAACTAGAGGAAACTGTTCTATAAAAATAGAGTATTATGCAAAGGTGCATAAGAAGATGACAAAAATACAGCTTTTTTAAAAAAAATAAACAGATGTGCAAATAAGATGCAATAAATGCAAGACTGAAAAAAACAAAGGCAGATTAGTTTGTCCTTATCGAAAGAATTTCCTGATGCTGGAGTTAATTTTTGTATTGCGGTTTTGATTGCTCTGTTTCCTGCCTTCTCTCCTTGCCTGGATGAACTTTGTCAGAAGTAAGAGTTTAGAAAAAAAACATGTTGATGTCATACATGACTCTAAGCCACCATGTGATTTGTTTTTGTTTTGTTTTGTTTTGTTTTTTGTTCAATATGTTGTTTAAATCCAGCCCTTGTGGTATGTATGCCATGTTTCATTGCTTAACACCAAGTACAAATTCCCACTTCTGGCTCATTCAACAAACCATATTTAAACAATGCATGGTTTAGTGCAATGTGGGAAACATGTCCTTAATTGATGCAATCTGATGTCTTCAGCATTTAAGTTGCATGTAACTGCAGCCCTCACCAAGTGTTAATCAAGACAGAAACTGCACAAATCAAATTCAAGGATGTTCATTGATATAATACTATAATATTAAATTATGCAATGTGTGATTGTTAATCTGTAAAAATAATCTGTAAATAAGAAAATATGTTCATTTTATTGGTGATATATTAATAGGCTGCAAATATAAATATATTGTAAATGTGTGATTCTATTCCATCCTGTTATAAAAGTTTAATACTCTTACCGTATCCCAAGCCTAATTTGTGCAGTATAACTTTAGATATCCCTAGAGATATACCATTGTGGTCCTTGCTGTGTCCCTTGGCGCTTGATTATGGCAGTCTGCTTACAAACAAATGCCAATGCTCTCTGAGTGCTGCAAAGCAGCATTCAGGGAGTATAAATCATGTCAGCTAATCCACTGTGTCAAGTTATATGAAGGGACATATATTTATTTAATTACTTTCTTAGCTGCTTCTCAACACTGAAATTTTCAGTATACCTCAGGACATATAAATAACATAACTCAATACCAATTTAAACTCAAGCAATTTAAAAGTTAAAATGAAATTCCATTTCAAATATCTAACAGCTATAGATTACTGCAAAATCGGAATGCTGAACTGATGGGCAATAGACAACCCCTCCCTGCTACTCCTAGATTTCTTTTAAAAACGATAGGCTGTAATTTCTAAGTTGGAAGGTGAAATTTATTAAATATTTAGAAAAATGGAAAATGGTCCTTGTAAACTAAAATAATTGAATTTCAAGTAAACAAGCATTAAATTTGGGGGCGGGGGGGTTGGTCTCATACATTTTTGGGTGCAGAAAGAATGTTGGCTAGAAGTGGGGGTTCAGGAGAAGAATAGGACTTTGGAAATGGTTAATCAAAGAACCACATGCCTAGTACTAGGATGATGGAACTAAATAAAATGATAAGGAACCCAAGAAGGATAGTAGAGCAAATACAGAAGAGAACTAGAGAAATGAAGTATCCTAAAACAGGGATCTCCAAAGTTGGAAACTTTAAAATTTGTGGACTTTTAACTCCCAGAATTCCTTAGCTACCCCAGTCTAAAAGGAATGGTCTTAAGAATCCCATTTTGGCTGGTTCACATCTTGGGTTAAGTATGTTACATTTTAATCATGTTTTCTTGTATAGGTCATAGTGGTTAGACCTATGCAACGTGTAAACTAAATCAAACGGGTGGGTTCCACTTACCTTTACTACTGGTTTGCAACGGGAGTGTGCACAGTTCACAACGGGACACGTTTCTGCGCATGTGCAGATGATCAGTGATGACTTCGGGGCAGGTGGGCGGAGCCTCCTGCCGCCATTAATACTGAACCGGGAGCAACCCACCACTGAAATCAAAGCAAAACCCATGATTGTTTAGCATAACTCACAAAACCAGGATAGGAATTATTACAGAAAAAAAGTCACATGAAAATTAAAACCCCTGATGAGGGAAGTGAAATCTGGATCATGGGATCAAGGAGATAATGTGGCAGCAGGAATGGTCTGTGTTTCACTACATTTGGCTTGTATAAACATGGTTTGTCAACAAACCAAATCTCACTAGGTTTCTATAACATACTAAGCCAAAAAGGCTAAACCTCATTACCCACCCATAGACAGATGTATTCACACATATGCCATCATTTTGGCAGAAGCTATTTTATATTCTGATTCCCCAAGAAAGCCTCTGGAGCCTGGGGAGGGTGAAAAACAGGCCTACCGGGCCCACCGGGCCATCATGTGCCAAAAGTGTGGGGAGCATTGGGGGGGGTCGCACACACATGTGCGGCGGGGCATTATGGGTGGGGGCATACATGCGCGACCCACCCCCACACTCCTCCCGCTTTTGGCACACAACGGCAAAAAGGTTAGCCATCACTGCCCTAGCTGATTACAACTTTCTGTCTAAATTATAACAAGTTGCAGCAACATTTTCTTTCCTGAAATTGAGGAAAATCCATAATAAATGAGTATATTGGGAACCAGATTTATTTTGAAATTTTTCTTTTTGTTAATACTAATTCAGACATAGATGAAATAGTACAGCCACATTTACATTAATCCATCTTACTCTTTAAAACTGCATTGCATTGCTCCTTCCTCCTGTCAACACATACTGAGCAACAGTAATGACTACTAAATCCCGACTGTAGACAACAGCTGGGAAGCATTCACACCTCAGTTGGTACTGCTGATGTGACAAAATGGGTCATTCCATGGGTGAAATGCAGCAGACACTTTGAAAATGGAACCTACTATTGAATGCATTACTCCTCAATCTGCAACATGAATCTTCTGGAGCAACATAGTGAAATTATTTTGTTGTGTCACTTGAATTTAATTTTTGATCTGAGAAGTGAAACGTGGCAAGTGAAATATAGCTTGTAGCATCCTCAGGTATCTCCTTATCTGGTGATGTTCCTTAAGAATTTCCATGTGGCACCTCAAAGTTTCAGTGTGTCCATTGAAATCTTTCTTGGCACCCCTGATGTTTAGTTTATGATACTTTATTTTTTTAGAAATAAGATGCTAATAATTCAGGGTAAACATCATCCACCACTATTATTCTTCATTTGCAAGCCTCAGATATATTCCATTGGATTTCTTAGTGAATAAAGATAATACTTGTGGCACAATCCTTTTTTTGGGGGGAGGGGGAAGTCTGTCTGCCTTTCCAGAAAAATAACTAAGAAAGCAGAAGGAAGAAGAAATGTCCAATGGGAAGGAAAGTCATGGCAGAAGAGATGGCAAATTACATTCTTATCTATTTATACTTTGCAACAGATTGTTACCCCAATCCCAGGCATTTTGTGAGAGCAGGTGTTCAAAAAAGGTTAGAGGTATTTGCTCATGAGTGCCACTTTTGGCCTTTGAGTGGCATGCTAGAGCCTAAAAAGTGGATAAGTGCCAGGTGAAAAACTAAAACAGGAGGTAGCAAATAATTTGAGAAAGAAAAGTTGCTTTGGGAAACATGTTCTGCCTATTTTTTTAACATGTGCATTCCTTGCATAAAAATCAGCATAACACCTAATTATAATTTCCAACCAAGCCCAGAATGTTCAAGGTGTATTTCCTATTTTCCCTCTGGACAACAGTAGAATGATTGTTTTCACTGAAGTTTTAGGAGGTTGCATGACTGTATTTGAACTCTACAGGCTTTCTCTCTGTTTATTTTGGGCCTAAAATAGAAGGCCTAGTATATTGCCGGCAATAAGGGCATCTAAGCATTTTTGGGAGTTATGTTCAGAGAAGCCTAGTGAAGACCAAATATCACACGTCGATATATGCAACTTGACCAGGGAAAACATGCCCATATTAAAAAAATATTCCTGATTGGGATGGGTGCCATCATTCTCCCTCCCCCACCCCAAAAAAAATAAATAAAATAAAATAATCTCAGTTGTTTTCTTGTGTGGTTGCAAGGACTGGTAGAGAGAAGGTCTTTTTCTTTTTTCAAACAGGAAACAAGCGACCTAGATTGGGGGCCCTCTGGGTTTTTTTCCCCCCAGAATATAAGCAGTTTAACTCATAGTTGGTTTTAGAATGACTCTTGATTGATAGAACATCTATAACAAGATCATACAGATATTAACATAGACATATGAAGTGCTACAAATATTACGAAAGCTGAGTTTAAGTCATAGTTCATTGAAGGTTCATGCCACAGGGCGAAAGTGACTTTTTAAAAAAGAAATAGTGGGAAATGAATGTAGAGAAAAGTGCTTTATTCATTGGCCTCCCTTACAATTCATTTAGAATGCCCTCTCCTGCACTCCACTCAGTTTTCACAATTAAAGTTTCCATTGCTGTCAAAGGAAGAAAATATCCATTATGGACAGCAGGTGATTAGGGCTTAGTTTGACTAAGTTTGGGGTTTCCACACACCTATTTGATGTATTTGCTACAAGGAAAAGATCAGTTCTACCGAATCTGCTTTTTAACTCCAACAAGCATCCTTTTAAATTGAAATGGATGCAATAACTTATCCATGCTGAAAATGCTGGCGCATATTGACTGGCAGCATTTCATGTGACAGGTTCAACCTCGAATTGGCCTCAAATGGTTGTGTAAAATGAATTTGGGGACTTCTAAGACCTCACTCTGCAAATGACATCTAAATGGGCCATCAAAACTAGATATACATAGAAGCCGAATTACTGTTGTGGAACTAGATGTATTTCTGCAGCATCATGCAGTGTAACAGTAAAAGGTACTGTAATATTTTGATCCTTTGTGGAATGCTCCATAAAAGGAATTATTTTATGCAGAAAAGCATGTGGAAACAAAGATTCTAAGCCAGATATCTCTCTACTGTGGAAATGTTTTCACTCCAGAAATTGACATTTATACAGACAGTACATACAAGAGCATGATACTTCTATTTGCACTTTGCAATGATCAAGTGACCCTCCACTGCAGGCATAGCCCTGCTTGGTGTTGTGGACTGGGGCCAAAAATCTTCACATTCTCCATCATGTTATCTGGAGAGGGAAAGTGCAGGTAAAGCTGGCTAGTGTTCATCTAGGAAAACATAAACTGCTTTTTCCTATCTTCCTTTGATGAGGGCCCAATTTTCTCCACTGTCGAGGAAAAGGTAAGTGAGCAATTAAAAGCAAGGAATGTTCCTTCCTCTTTTCACTTTTTGCTGGACAAACTCCTCCAACTCAATGGGTTCCATATGGGTTGGACTTCTGTCAAAAACTATGCTGGCTAGCAGTTACAAGAATTAAAATCCAACCTATCTTCATGGCATCAGGTTGGGGAAAGGAGCAAGGCATTTTGTGGGTTACAAATCCCATTGATCTAAAGTATGGGGAATGCTGGGAGTTGAAGTCCACGCATTTTAAAGTTGCCAAGTTTGAAAAACATTCCTTAGATGATGTGTTAGGTTCGATTCACTCTCACAAGTCAGGACCAGTGGTGGGTTCCTCCCGGTTCGGTCCGGTTCGGCTGAGCCGGTAGTGGTGACGATATGACTTCACCGACCCAGTTCTCCCCCCCCGCCCTCCCCCCCGTTATTCTTACCTTTTATTTGGTCCCACCCCCAATCTATTGCTGCCTCCTGAGTCCCAGCTGATGACGAGAGGGAAAAAAACTGTTTAAACTCTTGCCCTGGGGCTTCAAAGGGCCGTCCTACAGCTGATCAGTGTTAAAAGCAAACAAATGAGTCGGGTCGTAAATGCGAGGACTGGTTGTAAGTGTGAGGACTGGTCGTAAGTGCGAGGACCTTCCAGAAATGGCTGACCAGCTAGCCACGCCCGCCTAGTCACATGACCTCCAAGCAACACCCACAAAATAAGCCACGCCCACAGAACCGGTAGTAAAAAAATTTAGAACCCACCCCGGGTCAGGACAATGACCAAACGAATTCATTAAAACTGAATGTTTTACAAAAATCATGGGATAGGAAAAGTTGTTTTCTTATTCTGTAGTTGACAATACTCGAAAGTGACAGGTTTGCTGTTTAAAATTTAAATACAACATTAGTATTATTAAATGTTTTTCTTTCTTGGTTCGGCATCTTAACGGACAGGTGGTTAAAATAAAATATTAAAACACCACTTACAAGAGTATCTTCCGCTCTGGAAGTTGCAATTGCGCTGCCCACCGAGAGGGGTCGCTCAAGTGCACCCCGAAAACTGCGCGTGAGCACTTTTCGCTACTCTACTGCAGTGCGATTCTCTTAATAAGAGCTGGCCTGCAAATTGCCCGGACGGCCACCAGAAGGGAGCAAAGAGACAAAGACAATTGTAACTTTTTTGCTGCTAGACTAGCGCACGTCTGGATTTTTCAGCTCAGAACTGACGGCAGCAGGGGATAGGAACAACGGGCTGCCTTCCCCCCCCCCACTCCCCCTCCGCCCATAAAGGGAACGAGGAAATGTTGCAGGGGTCGCATGTGCTGTTTCCGTGGGTGGGGAGGAATCGTTCCAACCCGTGAGTGGATCCGGGCCCCGCTCTGGTGGACGAGAAGCGACTTAAAACTGCAGCTTGACACCGCTAGCAAGAGCTGCTGCCGGTCGGACGTCATCCATGCAAACAGCGAGCAGCGACCCACCCTTGGGAGGTGGGGCGGGGGGGGGGGAGGAAATCAGCGTGCCGAAGCCAAGGCGCAGCTCGGCAGAGCCTCACTCTTGCTCCGCCGGGCCGCCCCGGACTTGCCGCGCTGCTCCTCCGCCTTCCGTGCGCCCGTCGCTCTCGCTCCTCCCTCGCCGGCTCTACAGCCCCGCCCCAATCCCAGAGAGGAAGGCTGGGGGGGCGGAGCGCATGAGCTGCCGCCGCCGCCACCGCCGCACACTGGAGCCACCGAGCCTGGAGCGAAGGCAAAAAAAAAAAAAAA